AAGCTTATAGAAAAAAAGGATGTTAACTCTTGTTAACAATGGAAACCATATTAATTTATACCTAATTAATCCTACTTCCCAAAGAAAGTCAATATAGAATCTTAACTTCTTAGAATTTCTTTACTAAGGAATTTATGTTGTTCAAATTAACCCAAACTCCCTAACTTAGACTATTTTCAGGCTAGAATGTGTCTGTGATCATAAATTCCTTTTTAATTAGAGAAAGGTAACATGGGTAAAAGAGACTAGAGGAGAAAACATCTATTGGCCATACACTATACTGCAATTCAGTTCCATCAGATTCCTTCGACATCCACTCAAAAGATGAGAGGTACAACTAAGCAACCACCCTAAGAGTTTCAAGAATGAAATCTGGGCTTTCATCAGAAAAGGGTGAAATTTATAAGTCTCTGGAAAATGGAGTTTTTCCAAGAAGGTTCGAAGATGACAGATTAAAAATCTAATGAAATGAAAATGGCTAAATAACAATAATCACTCATAGGAGATACACACATGCATTCACAATACTAAGGCTCAATACCCAGTAGATGAGTTGACATCTTTCTCTTATTTATTGTATAACTATGTATCAGTATCACTGGGAAGTCTGAAAACACAGGCTTCTGGACAGAAACATTAAATTTTACTCTCTTGGGGAAAAGGAAAAGGGCCAGGAGTGGGTATTTTTCTTAAGCTTCCCAAATATTTCTGCAAACCACTTCACCTTAGCATTTGGACATCTCTGCATGACATTTCTTCCTCTTAGTATCATATTCCCAATTACACTTATGTCTTAAGTTTTTGGTTTGCAAAAAAAATCATTTTACTAAAAGAAAATCTGTATTAATCAGATTCATGGAAGAGGTAAATAAATGAATATTCTAAAAAAATATAAAATTTGTAAAAATATAAAATTTGTAAATGTTTAAAAAAAGAAAGTGAATATATTTGTAGGCATATTCTCAGAAATAACAGAACTCACTAACTTCAGCTACCCCTTTAGAGGGCCAAGATTCAGGGGCAGGAGAAACACTGTACTACACGTTCTTTGGTACTTTCTTCATTGTGAGTCATATTACCTACTGAACAATAATAAAAAGAAAATTTAGAACTGTCATACAGATCAAAGAGATATGAATATTAAAAATAAAAACCAGCTATAAAAGACATCTGTGGGACACCTGGGGAATTGTGAATATGGACTATATGATTACAGCATTACATCTTTATAAAAGATAAAATCTACTTAAATCTATAGAAATTTATTTCATGTTCTAAGAAGCATATGTAAACATAACAGAGTTTTTATACTCAGGAAATTCAACACTGATTTTCTTCTTTTTTTTTTTTTTAAAAACTTTGAGACAAGGTTCTTGCCTGGGTTGCCCAGGCTAGTCTTGAATTTGCAATCCCCTTGCCTCAGCCTCCTGAGTAGCTGGGATTATAGATATACACCATCAACACTGGTTTTCTTTTATCTTTAAAAAAAATTTTTTTTAGTTGTAGATAGACACAATACCTTCATTTTATCTATTTATTTTTATGTGGTGCTGAGGATCAAACCCAGTTGCTTCAAACATGATAGGCAAGCGCTCTACCACTGAGCCACAACCCCAGCCCAATGCTGGTTTTCTATCATCATATAATATATATTTATCAGATAAAATTTGATTTGTTTTGCAGTACTGAAGTTTGAAACCTAAGCCTTGCACATGCTAGGCAAGTGATCTGCCACTGGCCTTCATCCCTCGCCCCTGATTACTTCTATCTCTTGTACATAATTTAATTGTTGTTTGGAAGTAAGATACAAGATGATTGCCTCTTACTTCTAAACAATAATAAAATTATATACAGAGAGAAAACAAACATGGAAAATTTTAACAATATATAAATTTAAAAGATATATTTATATGTGCATTGCACAACTGTCTGTATTTTTAGTAACAGCTTTACTAGTATTTCATTCATGTACCATAAATATACCATAAAATTCACCCATTAAGAGTATATAATTAAATGGTTTAGCATTTTCATAGAATCATGCAACCATCATCACAATCAATTCTTCTTGGGTGTATACCTCAAAGTAGAATTGCTGGTCATATGGTAATTGTGTTCACCATACTATGCCTGCAATTTTTCTATTGAATTAAAAACTCAAAATAAAAAATTAGGGGAAAACTTTAATAAGCACAAGAAAAGAAAAGAAATAATAAGCTTACAGCTATAATCCCAGTGGCTCAGAAGGCTAAGGCAGGAGGATCACAAGTTCAAAGCCAGCCTTGGCAAAAGCAAGGAGCTAAGCAACTCAGTGAGACCCTGTCTCTAAAATAATATACAAAATAAGGCGGAGTTCAATCCTGGGTGCTCTCCCTCAAAAAAAAGGAAATACTAAAGCTTAAAAATATATTAACCAAATCATCTTGTGCTCTGACAAAATATGTACATTACATGATTCTATGTAATACACAACTCTTATTCTTAGCAGAAGAAGGTAGTAAGTGCTTACCATGACTCCTGAAGAACCAATTTTATTTAGTGACTTGCAAAATGATCAATGGAGGGAAATTACTTATTTGGAAAATAAGAAACATCTCAATATTTTATACAAGCAACGATGCATCATAAAAGAATATAAGCTCTATTTAGGATGTGGTTCAGTGGTATAGTGCATACTTAGCATGCAGAAGGACTTGAGATTAATCACTAGCTCCAAAAAGAAAAATAGAAAAACAAAAAGAATGATTCTAAAGGCAGAAGAGGGGGAAGAGTGCTTAACTTCTATGAGATTTCATATAAGGAGCATTCTCTACATCTAAGATTTAAATCAGATAATATATATAATATATACCACAGTGTCTATCACACAGTAGTTGCTCAATATGTGCCAGATTCCTTAATAAATAAATAAATAAATATTCCCACCCTCCATTTATATAAGCTGTAGAATCAATTGCCGCTTTATTAAAGAAACATTTGCATTTTAGTTTTGAAACAGAAAGAAATGCATGAGGCTACTTTCAGATTGTTTTCTCCAATTCTAGCTTTTCATCTGAGCCCTAGACCCTAATTTTCAACTGCCTGCTGAATCTCTACTTGAAAATCTGTAGCAACTCTAACTCAACTTGCCCTGAATTTTTGCTTTTCTTTCTAAAATTCTCCCCTTCTTGACTTCTCAGTCCTGTAAATGATATTATTATTGGTGGGGCAAAGCTCCAAATCATCTTTGACAGCCAAGACTTGTAGACTTCTGGTCATCAGCTTGTTTCCTATTGTCTTGCAACAATGTGGAACTACTACCACTTATTGGACTATCTACCCTTTCCTTCTGCAATCACTATCTTCACTATCCCATTACACACTCCAGTGCCACAGTAATTAGTCTAAGGTAAAGATAAGGGTATTATACTTCCCTGTTCAAAAAACTTTTCATAGTTACCCATTACTTTAAAGTATAAACTCTCAACCAGGAAAACAGCTATGTACTGATTCATTCAGCAAACATCTACTAAGCACCTACTGCCTCATAATCAAGGTTATTGAGAGAATGATGTGGTACTGAGCACATTATTTTAGGCAGATACCAGGTGCACAATGTGTATTTGGTAATAGGTATATTAAATTTTAGTGGGGTATAAACAGACTGTCCCTATCACCAAAACATCCTTTGATCACTGCTTTGTGAGCCTGGTCTTTCTTTTCAGGTCCACCTTTACCTTACAGTATTCTTTGCCTTTTCTTATGTATGATATCTCCTCATGTTTTGGGCTTTTTATTTTTCAAGTCTTTATTTGGTAGGTAGAAGGATTCATTACATTAGTGTTTTAGGCAGGACAGTGTGGATGAACATTAATATCTGCTTCTAATGGGATGTTTTTCTGCAATTTTCTCATGTGTACAACAGCCCCCAGACCCAGGAACAAGTTCTTGGGCATTTTCTTCTAGAGTTCAGAATTAAGAAAAGAAAAAAACTGGTGCTCTAATTATTTTCACTTCAAGGTAATCAAGATTTTCTCCCTGAACTTATAAGATATTTATTTCGCTTGAAATTAAAAGTAATTCACAATAATAAAAAAAAAATCCACCTTGTTAGAGTCTGTAAACAAGTCAGGATGGCGCCTGGTGCACCACCTTTCTTTTTTAAGCAAACATATCTGAATTCATATATCCAAAGGGTGGCATTCTTCAAAGAAATCACTCTCCAATCATTCCAATATACAATTATCTAGTTGCTATTATGTACAAGGCACTATGCCAGGCTTCAAGGAAGCAAAATAAAATATGGTTATTTGCTTCAGTGATATTCACAGTGCTTCTAAAATTCTTTTGGTATTACACTTTGGGCCATTTTGCAGTGAGCAATGCAACATAACTGGTCTCATTTCTGTAGAAAAGCAATATCCTTCAAACAAAAGCAATTTTACAATTGGTCAACATCTTTAAAAAAAACTTAATATTCTCCTCCAAACAACTTTTTAGTTATCAAAAAAAAATTAAGTATGCCTCCTCAAAAATAGATGCTTGCCTACACTAAGGAAGTTTGAAAACAAAAAACAAAACAAAACTATATATGACTCTGAAAGAAATTACAAAGGAGATCCCAACACATGTTAAGTAATTGCTACATCAGAGTAACAAGTAGATAACTCACTTAGCTGATTAATTTGAAAAGGACAATACACAGTATGTTAAAAAGTCACATTACTTTATATATAGTTCCCTTACTCTTAGAACTATTTCATAAGCAGCAAAATCAATTTATTATACAACTTTATAAAGAATTACTTCATTCTCAATTTTTGCTACTGCTTAGAGAAGTATCCGTCCAACATGGTGTTAGCTAAGCTCAAAGGTGCCTAATCTATTCCTGTTGATTAATTAATATAAATAAAATGGAATATAGTTATTTCTCCATAGATCTTAGTGTGAAAAAAATTCAGAACCTATGTGGTAATGGGAGGGCTGCCACATTTTCTCCCTCCCTCCTGCCCTACACTGACCTGGAGCTGTATTTCTTGAGGATGGTGTCCAAAAGGCCAACAAGCTCTTCAGCGTTGATGAATTTCTGTGTGCTAAGTGTGTACATCTTCTCATAGAAGTCTGCAATCTCCATCCGAGCCTGAACGAAGAAGCAGAGCTGCTCTGACAGATGGGACAGGAGTTCTTCCACATGAGGTGCAGTCCCACCTAGGGCCCCACGGCCAGTCACCACCTTCTTCAGCTCATTATGTAGGGAAGTATAGATGGTGCGGATGGAATCCTTCCGACTGAAGAAAGACTGGCCCCCTGGCAGGCAAAGGACATAAGCACATGACAGGTAAAGAAGATAAACATAAGTGCCAATCACCTCCCAGCATTCAAAAGGAAAGAACCAGAACCCACAGAACTCAATGAGTTTACATCTACCATATTTTCAGATTTTTGGTTGAAATACAAATACTTTATGATTCATAATTTCACTGAGGAATAAGTTAAATGAATGTATTATGCAATTCATCGGTATAGCAGTGGACCTATACAGGATTTTTTTCATCCACATTCCAATTCTCCCCATTCTACCACTCCATTTCAATAAGCATTCAGATTTATTTAAGCGCACAATTAACTTACAAAATAACATTGATATGGACCTAAAAAGCCCTCCTCTCACATAAATATATATAAAAAATAACACCTGAATTATTAAACACTTTTGTTATTTCTGGAGATTAGAATTTTCTGTTTCTGCTTTAGAGTTGCATTTCCTTTGACTCTTAGTTTTTAGGCTGTGCTAGAAAATGGAATACACACATCCCTTTTATGCATGAATACCTACTGGGATGTCAGGGGAAAAAAGAAAATCTCAGCACTCTTGACAATATAGGTTATGATATGATAAGCATCACACTCTGAATTATTAAGATCATGAACCAATTGTAAGTACCTGCTGCTGTAATTCAGAGATTCCAAATGAAATAAGCAGAAACTAAGACTAACTACAGCCTACACAACAGTCAAAAAGGATCAAACAGCATAGATACCATTTACTTCTGTATTTATACATTATCAATTATATTTCTAATTATAAAGCTAGCTTTGTGGATAATTTTCAAGCAACTCAGCACCCCACCAAGGAGCTAGAAGCAAGTCATGTTTAAAACAGTGATTTATAGGAATTTTTTTTTAAATTCAGAGACCAGTGAGTTTAAATTTTCTGTTGATAAACCTAGAGTGTTATAATGAATGAAGTATTATTCTATACATATTAAATAAGGGTGAAAATCATTTATCAAGGCATTTGTAAAACACTCACTTAACAATAGACTGTTTCACAATATTGTTTTTAGTTCACTACATGGTAATGCTTTAAGAAATAAAACTTTGCCAGGCATGGTAGTGCCTGCCTGTAATCCCAATAGCTCCAGAGGCTGACGCAGGAGAATTGTGAGTTTAAAGCCAGCCTCAGAAACTTAGCAGGGCCCTAAGCAACTTAGTGAGACCATCTCTCCAAAAAAAAAAAAAATATATATATATATATATATAGATATATATAGATAGATAGATAGATAGAGTGTGTGTGTGTGTATGTGTATATATATATATATATATATAAAACACATGTTATATGTGTATGTGTATATACTTGTACACATATAACATGTGTTTGTGTGTATATATACACACGTATGTATGGCTGGGGATGTAGCTCAGTGGTTTAGCATTCCTGGGTTCAATCTCCAGTAAAAAACAAAAAAAAGAATCTTTTTGTTTTGGGTGTTTTTTTTTTGGGTTGTTTTTTTTTTTTAAACATTAACTTACATTTATTTATAGCTACATTCACATGTACCATCTGAAATAATACTTTTCCAGAAAAAAACAAATTCGTCCAGTTCTTGTCAAAATAATTGTTGATTTCACAAGTTTATGAGACTTTATGTTGTAATTGTTGGGTGTCTTTTTGTTTTGCTTTATTTTTTTACAGTAGGCTAAGGAATATAATCCAGGTATATTTCACGATTAAATTAAATCTCCTGTCTCCCAACCTTTTCTTTGAGACAGAGTCTAAGGTGCCCAGTCTGTACTCAACCTTGTGATCCTCCTGCCTTAGCTTCCCCAGTTATTGGGGTTATAGGTATGCAGCACCATGCCTGGCTAAGAAATGAATCTTAATATCCCTTACTACCAAGTTGGGTGAATAACTTGTCACAGCTTACCCAGGACCTTTCCGATTTAGGAACTAAAAGTTTGGCTTCCTGGGAGACTCTTAGTCCAGGTTTATTTTGAGACTGGGTCCAGCTATGTTGCCCAGGTTGGTTTCAAACTCATGGACCCAGGCAATCTTTCCACCTTAGCCTCTTGAGTAGCTGGGCAGGTGTAGGCTACCACACTCAGCTTAAGTCTAGGTTTTAAAACCAAGTCCTACCTTCTGTGAATCCTTGATTCTGGACAAACTTAATGGTGGTAACCCTTCTTAATATTAACTCTACTACTGATACTGTCTAAACACAATGAACAACACACACCTTTTCTCCTACTAATAGGTGCAAATACCATAACACAAGTAGATCAATCATCACACTAGCATTTCATACAGTAATGTACCCTGGAGGGTCTGTATTCCTCCCATGCCCATTTTCAGTCTAGTTCTGATTTTCTAGAGTGATGAGAAGAATAAATAGGCCTCTGTGCCCATGTGTAGGACAAAATCTCTTAGGTTAAGAAGGAAATAAAAGTGTCATATAAACCCCCAAATCTTTGGAAGTGTGAAAGACCTGGTTTCAAATCCCAGCTCCCAAGCTTAAAAAGCTGTGTGATGTTCAAACTACCTATCATTCAGATCCTTAATTATTGTTGTTCAACGTTAACATAAAATTAGTAGCAGGATGCATGGTACATTCCTGTAATCCCAGCAGCTTGGGAGGCTGAGGCAGGAGGATCACGAGTTCAAAGCCAGCCTCAGCAAAAGCAAGGCACTAAGCAACTCAGTGAGATCCTGTCTCTAAATAAAATACAAAATAGGGCTGGGGATGTGGCTCAGTGGTTGAGTGCCCTGAGTTTAATCCCTGGTACTCAAAACAAAACAAAAAAACTTGTAATAAAGCTGTTAAAAAGACAAAATGAAATAGTACTTGTAATATGCCTGGAAAATACATGCTCAATAATGCTAGACTCTTTAACTTATAACTGATATGAGAAAATTCCCAATAATATATTATTGAGTTTTGAAAACTCTATAACAAACTGCTACTTGACAAATAGCCAGTTGACCTTAACTGTGTACTCACTTCCACTATCAAACAGGTGGCCTTGGTGAAAATTTTAACTCCGCGTTGAAAAACATACTTACCTTCATCAGATTTCCCTTCTCTGGAGGAATGGAAAGACTACGTAAAACAAATATCTTTAAAAGCTTATCAATATACATCCACCACCAGTATGTGAAACCAAGCAAATTAAAATCACTATAAGAAAGAGAGAAACAACCATTGCATTTCTTTTAAAAACTCTCATCTATCTCAAAACTCTCATCTATCCTAGTTTGGAATATCCAGTCAGATCTAGTATTCCTCTACACTGGGAAACAAGAAACACCTGATTTCTCTTTCCATTATTTTAAATTTACAAAATATAATTGTTTTGAATATTCCTAGGAGGCTCTAGTTATGAATGCTTAATATTTTTCAAGATTCCAACAGTTCATCTTGAAATTTTTTAAGCATATTAAAGGAGTATGTAGGGCTGGAGTTGTAGCTCAGAGTTTAAGCACTTGCCTACCACGTGAAGCACTAGGTTTGATTATCAGCATTGCATATAAATAAATAAAATAAAGGTCCATGAACAACTAAAAAGGAATATGTAAAACATCTTTTGTATTTTACTCTACAACTTCTTGCTAATGATAATTTTTAAACATCAGTTCTCAAGTCATTTTCTACTATGCCAAATTTAGCAATCAGATTTGAGGTAATTCTCCAGTAACAAAACAAAGGGAACTTTGTTTTGGCCTTCTAAAATCCTCCACAGGCACTGAATCAGCACATTTTAATCACTGATCCTTCCCAAACAGGTATTATTCTTCCTTCAAAGGAAAGAGAGGTGCTAAGACCAGGAATCCACCCAAAGTTTTTCAGTAACAGAGCCACAACAGGAACAAAAGACTTCTGTCAAATCTGTCATTTGTTCAGAGGCTTCCACTTGCTTCAATAACCAGAGTTCACTGTTATAGCCTCAGACAAACATCAGTCACAAGATAGGTCACTTTTTTTTTTTAAATCTGGAACTTGCTCAGACAATAGATCTTAATTGTTCTCACCACAAAAAAGAAAAGAGAGAAAGCATGTGAGGTGATATATATATTAATTAGCTTAACTGTGATCATTTCACAATCTTTATGTATATCAAAACATCAAGTTGAACATGTAAAATATATACAATTTTTATTTGTCAATTATTCCTCAATAAAGCTGAAAAAAGACTTAAGCATGCATAAACTTTTTGTTTTACTTTATAAAGAAAACCATAAATAATCTAATTAAATATAAAACCATATAAATATTCTAATTGGCACAATAGTTGCAGAACATGAGAATGTTTTAAATTGCAACACATAATTTTTTAGAAAATTGACAGTCAACCTAATAATCATGAGGTCCTATTATAATTACACTGACATCACATATGTTCAAAAATATGGACAAAAAACTAAGATATTTGCAAAGTTAAAATTTAAATTCTATAACTTACATTTGCTGCACTGTTACTTGTACATGTAAGTTATGAAGTACTAAAGTTAAATACGCCATTTTCAGAATATTTACTCAGAAGTGAGGCCATCACCTGGGAGTTTAACAGTGCCTGGACATGTCTCAGTGTGAACTGCTGGGTAGGTCAATTTCAAGGACAGCCCTCAGGTTCATCCATTCCAACTGGAGTTCAAGCAGAACTCTTCACTTTACACAATGGCCACTTCAGAGAGCCCAAGTCAGAGACAGCAGAAGATTCATACATATGTTCTTACACATAGGGCAGCCACTTCTGTATACATAAAAACCTGGTTCATACAATGTACAACTAGAATACCAGATTTTTTTTAAACTGAAGTCCATAAATAGGTTTTAGGAAATCCAACCACACCCTATCAGATTATATGTAAAATTTTGTGTACATATATATCTTTGTTATTAAGGACACAGTTTTCATCAAATCCCCAAGGATGAGCTAAAAAAAGTTTTAAGAATCATGACACTTGGATCAATCACTATTCTTTATAGGTGGGAGAGTCAAAAAACCACCAAAACTGTCAGAATATTACCTATCTTCAATATTATAGCTAGAATCCTCCCCCATTTTCATAAACATATATATACACATACAAACATGTCTATATAACATAGTATGTATAAATGATGACATACATACATATTTTTAACAGATTGTAAGGATAGCTCAATCTGACAGTGCAAAGGCAGTTCAGGTTTGAATTCTTCTACTCACAATGACAAACAATTTGTTAATCTGTAAAAAGGGAAATAACATGTAACAGCAATTGCATATTTACCAGATGCCAGTGTGGGGAAAAAAAGGAGAAAAAAAATCATACAAGGTCAAACTATTTGACCCATGTTTGCCAACAAATTAACATGCTAAATATTTGAATATCAACACTGTAAGAATCTCAAAGCTCGATCCCTTAAGTGTGTACCAAAAGCTCAATAGGTGGACACCTTCAGACAATATATGGTTTAAAAATGGAAGTTACGCCCAATTTTACCTTTCTATTCTTATATTGTATATGTGTGTCCTTCATTCACCAGACCCTCTGTGTATCTGATAATTAAAGAGGCTAAAATAAGCCAAATACTAACACATCCCAAAGCTCCAGAATTCAAACCTTTATTACCTTAAGAAATATTTTATACGCACAGTCTATGGCTCTTACATCTATTATTTCCATATCTACTCAGATTATATATATATATATATATATATATATATATATATATATATATATATATATTTACTACTAAAAAGAGTTGAATCTGCTTTTGCATCTGTTTTTGGACATAAGAGCTACATGGAGTGCTAATGCTAAGAGCATTTACCACTTCCCTCCTAAGTCCACTTTCTAGTGTTCGGCGTATTTCTTGCCTTCCCTGCCTAATATCCATCTGTTCTTCATTCATTAAGTATGTACTAACTACGAAGACGGTATAGGACTCCATCCGTAACACTCAGGGCCTTACCCTTAATAGGCCAAATAGTGTTCATTAACACAATCTGGTTATATTGCCAAGTTTTGCTTCTCTGCAGTGTCACTAGTTGGAAGAACGAGGACATAGGAGTTTGGTTAACTTCTCATTTATGGCACCTATCCATGCACGAGGCATAATGGTAAACCCATCGGTTTGAGGCACAGCCCTGCTAAGAACATCCTCCCAGTCGGTCTATCGGCGACGCAGGCCGATGGGCGGGGTTTGTGGAAGCCAGGGAAGGAAAGGAACAGTGGGAGGAGACCTGGGAATGCAGAGTTGAGCCTGCCGCTGGGAGCAACAGAGACAGGAAACCCAAGCCACTGCCGAATGGGGAATATACCCCCTTTCCTTCCTCCTCAAGGGGCACGGGGAGCGGGGCGGAGGTACCTAGTTTCTGCCCCAGGTAGGTGAGGCTGTGATAGACCTTCTCGGCCGCGGCCAGGTGCGCCAAGGCCGCCAACAGCGACAGCCAGCTGCCCCCCGCGCTCTTGTTGGCCTCCCGTTCCTTCTCCACATTGTCCTTGGCCTTGTCGTAAGAGAAGATACCCAGGTGAGAGAAAAACGTCTCCAGCACCGCCTGTTCCACGGGGACCGGGGCGGCCAGCGGAATAGACTCCCCCATGCGAGCTGCGCTGCAGCTCGACCCACGTGGCTGTCCTCTCCCTCGCACTTCCGGGTTCTGAGGGAACAAGCATGCGCACAAGCGTGCGTGAGCGTGGCCGCCCCCAGCGGCGGGTTGCAGAGCGCCGAAGTCGCTCCCGGACCTCAGAGAGGATGCATGTGAAAGCCAAGGAAAGGAGGGAGGTAAACCGCCCCTGAGCGCCTTAGGCGCTTGGGCGGAGTTCTGACCGGTCGGGCCTTCTATTATGGAGCGCAGCTAATTCGCTGCTGCGTGGAGCCGACAGCGTTCTGAAGTGAGCTAGAAGCCCCGCCCTGTGAGCCTGCGTCGTGCTGATGACGCCACACTTACGTGACGTCAGTTCTTGCGTTAACATCTGGCCCGAACTCAGGAGCGGAACCTGGAACTGTGCTCACGTTTCTAATAGGGCCCTTAGTCAGCGTGTATTGCCTTTAAACCAACACAAGTGAGTGGCTTGCAGATGAGAAGCCTGACAGGTAAAGGTTTCTATCTTGTCCCCGTCGTCTAATTTCCATCCCGTCACACACCGTCGGTTAACTCCGCTTTGTTCTAGTCGTGTAAGTTTTGTGTCGACCAGCGCCCACACAATGCTCCCAGACGTTTCTGTTTGGCTTGCCCATCCTACCTAAACGCCAGGCTTCCTGGAGGAGTTTACAGAATGAAGGATAAATTAATGTAAATTGGTGCACCTTGTCATTAAGATTAATTACAAGTTCTCTTGAAGTTTGTGGGTGACCATGAACCCGCCTTGTATTTATGCCCACTTCTTTGAAACACTGCCCACTACTCATTTGATTTTTCCTCATTCTTTCCTTGTCCATGCTTAGTTAGTTAGTCATACTGCATTTAATTGCATGTATTTATTTGTCTTTTCTGTAATTACTGAGCTACCTAGAGCAGAGACTAAGTTCACTTAACCGTACAATCCTTACATAACGGACAGCACAGTGATGTTTGTTGAAATAAATGAAAGAACTGTCTCTTTTCGTTTTCCCCCTTAAACTAGACCTGTTCTGTCATGACTAACTTTTAACCCAAATTCCACTAATTTAAATTTTAATGCACATTTGTTGTGAATTGTGCAACTCTTACCTGCCCTCAAGAATGTCATCAGAGGGGGCTGGGGTTATAGCTCAGTGGTAGAGCACTTGCCTTGCATATGTGAGGCCCTGGGTTCCATCCTCAGCGCCACATAAAAATAAATAAATTAAAATAAAGGTATTGTGTCCATCTACTAAAAAATATTGAAAAAAAGAATGTAATTGGAAAAGATCAATACTATTAACTGTGTTTATAGGGCAAAATGTACCTGATAAAGGCGATTCTCTATTTGGAGAGCAGAGTTATCTTTTTGGAAGAATCTGGGAAGCTTCCTGAAGGAGAATGTGGTGGTTGATGAATGAATAGAAGTTAGTAATCAAAGAAAGTGTGGTACTAGCTGCCAAACTAACAGGCAATGGAAGACATTACAGAGCTCATAAGCCTAACCATGTATTTTAAGAATTCTTTAGAAAATAAAGGTGGCATCATAAATCAGTGTTTAAAAGAAACCTCATTCAATTAATAGTGAAGGAGACATGATTAACTATATGAAAAAAAGACTATCGACTTGTTTCCTACAACAAAGAAAATTAAAATGTAACATTTTAAAATGCATTTTAAATACATTTAATACATTAAATACATAAAATACATTAAAAATACATTTTAAAATGTATTTTTAAAGCACCATAAACTAGAAAAAATGCAAATGAATATTTCATGGTGTAGAGATAAAGAAAATCCTTATAAATGAAAAAATTGGTACAATTTACAAAGGAATTGAATGACTTGACTATATAAAAATTTATAATTTTTACATGTCAAAGAAAACACGATGCCAATATGGGAAAAATTATTTGTAAATATATGTCAAACAGTTTTAATGTGTTAACACATCAAGTAAAGTACTTGTCTAGCATGTTCAATCCCCGGTATTACAAAATCAAACAAAAAGGAAATAAAAATATTAAAATAGAATTGTCATATGACCCAGCAATCCCACTTCTAGATATATATCCAAAGGAAATATCCACACCCTCCTGATTGTTGCAGCCTTATTCACAGTAGTTAAGATATGGAAATTATTTAAATATACAGACATGGATGAACAGATAAAGAAAATGTCACACGCACGCACGCGCACACACACACAATTGAATATTATTCAGCCAGACAAGAGAAAATTTAACTTTTGTGACAAGGATGCACCTAAAGGATACTATGCTACATGAAATAAGCCAGACAAAGAAAGAAAAGTATGTGTGATCTCATTTATATGTGGAATTTTTAAAAGAAATAAAATTGATTTTATTTCCTTTGAATATATACCCAGAAGTGGGATTTCTTACTTTCTAATCAGTAAGAATAAAAGGACATGGATATACAAGTCCCTAAAGGTAATTTAAAATCTTAAAATTATTTTTTTAAATGCTCAACATCACTAGTAATCAAAGAAATGCAGATTAAACTACTATATTCTATGTTTGTCTATCAGATTATCAAAAGAAACATTTTACAGTGATAAGCATGCAGTGATTCTGTTCTTATTTTATACTACAGATGTGAGTATAATTTAGCACAAACTTTCTGGAAAACATTTGGCAGTGCATATCAATAAATGAGAATGTATGTGAGTATCTGAAAGTAAAGCAAAGTAGATGCTTAACAAATATCAGTAATACCTATCATTTTTGTTATTTTTTATTATCAACATCTGACCTTTCATTCAACAGAGCAGTCTACCTTTCTTTATGTGTATGTATATGTACATATATGCATATGTAACATATAATATATGTAGTGAATTAACACATCCATTCAACTCACATAGTTTTGTATGTGTGTGTATGTGTGGTGAGAACACTTAAAATCTATATTCTTAGCAAATTTCAAGTGATTATACGACATAGTATTAACTGACAATACAGTATTAACTATAGATGACATGATTCACATCAATGAATTTATTCATTAAATGAATCATGATCACTAGAATTTATTCATCTTATAAGTGAAAGTTAGTGCCCTTTGATCAAGATCTTCCCATTTTCCCCTACCCTCCAACTCTGGCAACCATTCTACTCCCTACTTCTGAGTTCAGGTTTTTTAGATCCCACATAAATGAGATCACACATACTTTTCTTTCTGTATCTGGCTTATTTCATGTAGCATAATATCCTTTAGGTGCATCCTTGTCACAAATGTAAGATTTCCTCTTTTGTCTGGCTGAATAGTATCCAATTTTGTGTGTCTGTATGTGTGTGTATCACATTTTCTTACATCATTTCCATATCTTAACTGTTGTGAATAAGGTTGAAACAATGTGGGTGTGGATATCTTTTCAAGATACTGATTGTATTTCCTTTGGGATTGCTGGGTCATATGACAATTCTATTTTGGTATTTTATTTCCCTTTTGTTTATTTTTGTAGTACCGGGGATTAAACTCAGGGCCTTGCACACGCGAGGCAAGTACTTTTCCATAGAACTAGGTGGTTCTTGTTTGTTTGTTTGATTGGTTGTTTGGTTGGTTTTTTGAGACAGGTTCTCACTACTGAGTTGCCCAGGCTTTTTAAACTTTTGATTTTACTGCCTTAGCCTCCCGAGTAGCTGGGATTATAGGTGTATACCACCACCTTGTCTCTTCACTTTAAACATTTTTGAGGAACCGCCATTCAGTTCATTCCTGTTCATTCCCACCAACAATACACAGAGTTCCTTTTTCTCCATACCCTCAACACTTGTTATGTCTTATGTTTTTGATAGTACTCATTCCGACAGATGTGGAATAATAGCTCAGATTTTTACTTTTCTGATGATCAGTAATGTTTAGTATGTTTTCATATATATGTTGTCCCTTTGTATGTTTTCTTTGGAGAAATATCTGCTTAGGTCCTTTGCTCATTTTTTAATCAGGTTATTTATATTTTTGCTATTAAGTTGTATAAATTCCTTATATGTTTTGAATATTAACCCATTATCAGATAATGTGGCTTGCAAATATTTTCTCCCATGCTATGGGTTGCATTTTCATTTTGTTGATTGGTTCCTTTGCTATGCAATTCTTCCTTTCTAACTTGATTATTATTTATTTTTCTTGCTTTCCTGAGTTTCATATATCCTCACTTATTTATTCTTGCCTTTGTTGCCTGTGCTTTTGGTTTCATATTCAGAAAAATTGTTGGCAAGACCAAAGTAAAGGAGCGGAGCTTTTTCTCTGTGTTATTTTCTATGAGTTTAATGATTTCAGGTCTTAATAATGTTTTTAACGCATTTCCAGTTAATTTTTTTGTGTTATATAAGGGTATATTTTCACTCCTTTGATGTAGATATTCAGTTTTTTAAATATTATTCATTTATTGAAGAGATTTCCTCTTCCCCATTGTATATTTTTGTGCCCTTGGCAAAGAATAACCTGTATTTGGGGGTTTATTTCAGGACTCTTTATTCTGTTTCATCGGTCCATATTTGTGCTTTTTGACAGTACCATACTATTTTTTAAAATTTTTTATCAGTGTGTTATAATTACACATAACAGTGGGATATGTTGTTAGATATTTGTACATTCACACAACATAATTTAGTCAATTTCATTCCTCAATATCTCCCACTATACTATTTTGATTAATATAGCTTTGTAGTATAATTTGAAATCAAGAAGTATATTGACTCTACCTTTGTTCTTCTTTCTCAAGATTGCTTTGGTTTGGTTTGATTTCAGGTATTTTGTGGTTCCATACAAAATTTAGGATTGTTTTTCCATTTCTGTGGAAAAGTGCTATTACAATTTTGATGGTGCTTACAATCAATCTGGAGATGGCTTTATGTAGTATATATGTTTTAACTATTCATTCTTGCAATCCACAAACATGGAAAATCTTTCCATTTGTTTGTGTTTTATTCGTTTTTTTTTTTTTTTTTATCTATGTCATAGTTTTTAGTTTACAGATCTTTCACCCTCTTGGGGAAATTTTTTCCTAAGTATTTTATTTTTA